GACACTTTGGTGACCGTGGGATGCTGGGAAATCTCTTCCCCTCGCTGCACTAATAGTAAAACCATCCCGTCTGGGGAAGGTGCACTCCGTTGTTTTTGCTCTCGGTGCGGAGCGATGGCACCGGTCACACTGAAGGCTGTACCGTTGGAGCTGGTCCCCCGCTGAAGGGAAGGGCGCCCGCTCGGCTGAGTCGCCGGAGCCCAGTGGCTGCTCTCACAGCCCTTTGCCCTGCGGCCCTGGCAACAGGCCCCGCAGAGTCATAAGTCTGCCTGTGGCCGGTGAATAATGGGTTAAACCATTCCGCTCCGACCCCACTGGAAGGCAGGTGTGGGGTGGGGGTTAATTACAGCCGGAGCTCCCTGATGGAGCCACCAATGACACAGTCGGTGAGGAGCCCATAGTCACTTACTGTTTTTTTGTTGAAAAAGGAAAAAGTGTAGTCTTCTAGTTAAAAAAGAAAGTCAGCCAAAACCGGTTTGGCTCAGTGGATAGAGTATCGGCCTGCAGACTGAAAGGTCCCGGGTTCGATCCCGGTCAAAGGCATGTACCTTGGTTGCAGGGGGGGTGCAGGAGGCAGCTGATCGATGATTCTCATCGATGTTTCTAACTCTCTATCCCTCTCTCTTCCTCTTTGTAAAAAATCAATAAAATATGTTAAAAAAAATTTTAAATATAAGAAAAAGTCAAAATCCACAATTTCTCTAAAAGCACTCACACTGCTTTCCCACGGCAGATTCATACAGACCACGCTGTGTGCTGGTCCTATCGCACGGGGCTGTCGGGAACCCCCTCCTCCCACAGAGAGCGACGCCATCGCGGAGCTAAGGGGGTCCAGGCCCTCCCGGGATCTTGTTCTTCTGACCCTGAGCTGGCGGTTCACTGGAAGTCCGGTTGTTTCAGTTATCTGCTACTTCAAGATGTGTCTACGAACTGAACATCGACACACACATTTCAGCTCTCGCATCCTAAAGAACTAGGAAATCCTTGTCCAACCGACCAGAAGGGTAACCCAGGGCAATCCAAAAGGGACACGTGAAACTAAGAACACGAGGCCCGGGGAATTTTTCCACTATGGCATTTTTGGGAAATTCCCACTGTTTTTTGTGTGTTTTTTTGTAGTAAACAAGTGTGTTTTACTTCATTCAACATGAGGAATATTTTCAAACTCGGGGGAAAAAAAACTTTATTATGTATTACAAAGTTCTCAAGGTCTCACATTTTGCTTTTAATCAAATAGTGGGGAAGTGTATTTACTCCGTTCATGGAAACCTGATGAATAAATTGGTGGTAATTTAAAACAATCTGATAAGAATTTGAAATAAAGGCAAAATTAAAAGTACAGCGTGCACCGTGATAAAGTGCTACGGCGATTTTGACATTATTGTTTCTGGCTCCCACTGTTCTTTTTTTTTTTTTTTTTTTATGTCTGTATTGATTTTAGAGAGAGTGGAAGAGGAAGAGAGAGATAGAAACACTGCTGAGAACAATCTACAATAGCTAGAATCTGGAAACAGCCTAGGTGCCCGTCAGCAGATGATTGGATCAAAAAACTATGGTACGTCTACACAATGGAATACTATGCTGCCATAAAAAAGAAGGACTTCTCATCATTTTCAGCAACCTGGATAGAACTAGAGAACATCATGCTGAGTGAAATAAGCCAGTCAATGAAAGAGAAATACCATATGACCTCACTCATTTATGGATATTAAAGAACATTATAAACTGATGAACCAAAAGTCAGATATAAAGACAGTAAAGCAACAAGCAGACTGTCAAATTACAGTGGGGAGGGGAGGAGGATCTGGGGGAGATAATAGATCAACTGAAGGACTTGTATACACGCATATAAGTACAACCAATGGACACAAAACTCTGGGGAGGGAGGGTATGTATTGGGGGGGGGGACAATGTTAAAATATGTGGTTTTGGGAAATGATAATGATAATAATTTAATTTTAAAAATTAAAAAAAAGAAACACTGTGAGAAACACCAATGAGAGGGAAACATCCTCAAATGGCCACCTCCTGCCCGCCCCCACCGGGGATGAGCCTAAAACCTGGGCATGCGCCTGCCTGGGAATCGAACTGGCCACCGCCTGGTGCATAGTCAATGTTCGACCCCTGAGCCACACGGGCTGGGCCCGCTGCTCTTTATGTCCTCCCGCAGGGTCTCTCGCAGGCCGGTGCAGGGAGTTCCGGGAGAGCTGTGGAGGAAAGACGACCATGCGAAATTTCACGTGCTAATTCCAACTGGAGGTAATACATTCAGGTGTTTCTTAATGTTCCGAAGCGCTGGCAGCCAGAGGAGCATGTTTTCCCGGCGCTTGGGGGAAATACCTTCACACAGCTCAGGTGAGAGCGGAGTCTTCCTCTCCAGAGGCGCCTGGGTGGGGCACACGCTTCTTCCCATTTCCCAAAACCATGACCTCCGGTGTAGGCTTTGCTCTCAGGATACAGCACACGCGATCCTCACAGCCTGTGCACCTAGAACACGGTGCCCCGCTAACACAGCCACGCCTGAGACGACGTGGCGTTGGCTCGCAGGCAGTCCACAGCCATTCCCCAGACAAGTCCATGCACCCCCTGACAGCCTGGCCCTGCACTCCCGGGCACCACGCTACAGAAATGCAAACGTATGCACACACCAATGTGCACAGCACCTTCTATCGTCAGAGCCCCAAGCTGGAAACAACTCAGAAACTCCTTCAACGGGGGATGGGCGACACATCCACACAACAGACCCAGCAGCAAAAGGGAACAAACCACTTGGGTAGCTCTCAAGGGTGTGATGCAGTGACAAACCGCCAGTCTTCTCAGTCCCCAGCAGGGGGCGTGCAGGAGGCAGCCGGTCCATTATTTCCTCTCATCATTGATGTTTCTCTCTCTCTCTCTCTCCCTTCCTTTCTGAAATCAATTTAAAAAAATTATTTTTTAAAAAGCCAATCTTAAAAAACATAGTATACTGACGGTGATGATAGACACACAAACCACAAGTGATGAACTTGTACAGCATTTCACACACACACACACACACACACATTGTCCCTCGATTGCCGTGACAGAATACCACAGACTGGGTCACATATAGAAACCCCAGAAATGTACCTCTCACAGCTCTGGAGGCTGGAAGTCCAAGGTCGGGGTGCTGGCAGATGTGGTGTCTGTTGAGGGCCCACTCCTGGTTCACAGGTGTGTCTGCTCGCTGTCCCCTCTTGGGGGGAGGACAGGGGGCGCTTTGGAGTCTCTTCCAGAGAACAATGGTCCATCCCTCACGGCCTGACCACCTCCCGAAGGCCCCACGTTTGTGGGAGAAAGTCTGGCTCAGGCCACGCTCCAGCTGTCACGCAAGGGAACGACGCACTGGCCCTCCTGAGGAGCTGGGTCCCCTGCGTGGAGCAGGCTGAGCTCAGCGAAACCCCAGGTCCCCCATCCTCCCTTTTCCCTGGGAAGCGTGCTGGGCCAGGCTCTCTGGGAAGGCACAGGCGGGTCCAGGCCCCGTGGGAGAGACACTTGCCCCTGGGGGGGTCTCCCTTTTTCTGGAGCAGCTGTGGGAAGCAGACCTGCCGATGGGGAGAGGCGGTGTGGGTGCAGAGCGTCACACATCAGGTGCCCCTGGGAGTGGCAGCGCCTGCACCTGGGACGCTGGGGCTCCAGGAGGGGGAGCCTCCGCTCTGTGGGGAGCAGGGGCAGGTGGGAGGGCTGGTCCAGCCAGCTGTGTCCAGGCAGCTCAGGGCCACATCTGGTAACTGCGCTGTCTGCATCACCACGCAAGTATGGCCATCCGGTCCTGCCATTGCAAAGCAGGAACCCCGGATGCTGCTGCACTCAAGCGAGAATAAATACTGAGGAAAGAGGCAGCCAGGGGCCCAGCCATCTCCCCCTTTCTGCCAGCATCTCTCTCTGTGTGTGTTTTAATCCTTTTTATTGATTTTAGAGAGGAAGAGGGAGAGAAACATCAATGATGAGAGTGAATCATTGATCATCTGTCTCCTCCTGCACGCCTCACAATGGGGATCGAGCCTGCAACCCAGGCATGTGGCCTGATCAGGAATGGAACCGTGATCTCCTGGTTCATAGGTGGATGCTCAACCACTGAGCCACATGGCTGGGCCCGGCATCTGATTTCAATGCAGTGAAAGCACTGTTTACAGGTGAGTGTGTCCCTCGGCTGTCAGGGGAGCCAAGCACAGCGTGGCCATCTGGCTTCGCCCAGAAGCACAGGGGATGGATGAACCAAGAGTGACGGACAGCACCCGCCACAGCCACTGCCCAGGGGTGGTCTGGAAGGCCGGCCGGGTGCAGGGCCTGCAGGCCTGGCGCAAACAAGAAGGAGCTCAGAGTTTGCTGTTAAAAGAATGGACCCTTCCCTGGCCAGATGAACCGCTACCCGATGCTATCAAATCTATGACTCGGGTGTGTAAGAAGTCTCAGAGTTCAAATCCTTAGGAGACTGGGCAACAGGTCAGGTGGTGCATAACTTTACAATGACCATCCCTCAAATTGCAATATGTCATTGTTAATCCTCATCCAAGGATATTCCTTCCATTGATTTTTAGAGAGAATGGAAGGGAGGGAGGAAGAGGGGGGGAGAAAAAGAGAAGCATTGATGTGTGCTGGGCAGGTCGACGCTCTAACCAGTGAATCGCACCAGCCAGAGTGGACATGTAATTTAATATTTGACCAACGAGGGGTTGTTGCAGACCACCAGCCCAAAAAATGCCTGGAGGAAGCTTTCCCCTCTCTGGCTCCGCATCTTTCTTTGTGTCTGCTCTCTCATCTAAGCTTTGCAAGAAACGCTACCTGCACGTTCTTTGTTCACCTTTTTTAACCCCTGGGAGAGCCTGAGACCTCCCAGAGCATTCCAAGTAATCCAAACGTTCTACGGTTCCAGGCTGTGGAGAAACCAAACTGCCGTCGGCAGCCGGAAAACTACTGTTCTAATACATCAAATGCGTCACCCCCTGGGAACAGGCGGTTGGAGAGAGGGCCAGCGATGGAAAACACAGGTCACAGCACCTTTTATTGTTCATTAGACAAACGGATGGGACACGAAACACACCAACTTCTCCGAACAGTCGTAGTGAGCTTCAATACCAAGGGCAGCGTCCGGACAGCGCCCCCAGGTGGGCAGCGCAGGCCTCACGCCTTCGGGCACGGTAGCCGGGGAAACATGAGTGCGGTCCGTGATGTGCCTCCCACGCCCGGGTTCTCCAGAGCGGATTCCTGTGTGACACAGAGGGGGCGTCGGCAGAGAGCACGTCCCAGGGTTCAGCCGGTCCGGGGGCTCCGTCCCTTCCTGCCGCCGAGCTCGGAAGCCAGGTGTCCGAACTGGGGTCCAACGCCCCCAGGTTCGCGCTGTCTTGTGGCCCAGAGTGACACCACGTTACAAACCCAGAGGCCCCAATAAATTCTCATGATTTATTCATTTAGAACGACCGGGTTGGAGTCACAGAGCCTGGTGGCCACGAGGGCTGGGGCTCATTTGCTTCTGTGGCTACCGCTGTGCAACTGGGACCGGTTAACAATGAAACGTTCCTGCTAGTGAACAGTGACACAGGCACAGAACTACCCACAGCCAACGACGCGGGGCTGAGCAGAACTTGGGGTCTGGCCCCCCAGCTTCTTCCATGTGCACTCAGACACCTGACCCCGTCCCCCTCTGAAGACCACGTCCACCCTCAGGAAACTCAGCACTCCACCACATTTATGTTTGGAGTTCCCACTTATCAGAACAAGAAGTGTTGTTATCCGCCCGTCGTTCAGTGGACAGCGGTAGGACACCGGGCCGCGCAGCCTGCGTTAGGCTCTTTAAGAACATCCGGTGCATTCTAACTCTAGGCACAAACACAACTCCTTTAAAAAAATAAAACTGTGATTTAAAAGGCCTTTGCTTCACAAGGAAGAGGAATAAACGGGAAATGCTAGCAGATGTTTGATCGTGTCTGTGTTTTTTTGTTTTGTGTTTTTTTCACTTGGTCGTTTGCCCTTTATACTCTGCAAATGCAGAAAGGAGTTGTCAGTGTGTTGGTGATTCTTAAAAAATCTCTTAGGAACCCTGGCATTGTGGGCAATCCCCTGGGTACATTTGGAGAACGGAGACAATATTTTAGAAAATCTATCACCCCTCGCCCGAATTCCTTTGATGGAACTATTATGTAAAAAGCAGGTAATTATATACATAAATAACATAAAAATAATTATCATAAGTTAAAAAGTCACACAATCTCCCACAATGACTTCGACAACCAGAGGCGAGAGCAGGGAGTGTCTGGATGAGCTGGTGGAGGTGGGGGCTCTGCAGGCGTCTCCTCAGTTCATGGAGGCGGGTATTGCACAGAACAGACGCCAGCCCCGCCCTGACTCTCGCCACTCGGAACAGGTGAGGTGCTGAGAAAATTCATTTTGCGCAACAAATGGTCCTCAGCCTCACCGGCAGCGTCATTCAGCCACTGCCGCCTCCTATTCAGTCTTTCTTCACGAGGGTCTCCCAAATCAATCAGGGTCTGGGACAGAGCGAGCAAGGACAAATAAGGCAGACGTACCCTTTCATTTTGGACGGCGTTAAAAAGACCAGGAGAGTAAAAATCAAACTTCATTCTGTTTTGCTGGCGGAGCGGCCGAAGGGCGGGCTGCCGTGGGCCCAGCCTCGCCCACCACCCGATGCAATGGTGTCCCGGGAAGCAGGCCCGGCTGCTACTCAGCACGTTCTGGATCCCATCGGCTCTGCTGCTGAGCTAACCTCTGCTCTCCTTACTGCCTGCCGGGAAACGGCGGGATCGCTGTGTTTTAGAGAAACCCAATGCTTCCCAAGCTTATCCCACGTTTGTACAGAAAATTGATCTTGGAAATTGATCTTGAAAATTGATCATCAACCTTTGGAATTTTAAATGGAAGAAAACACATGAATTTCCTCCCTGTTCTCCAGTTCAGGGGTTTTGGCTGCGCCTCAGTCATGATAAACACACGTGGTGGCAGGGAAGCCATCCCCACAGGGGCGGCACGAGGCTTCCGCGTTGCCCACACCGCGTGCCCCTGTGCACAGGGCAGCTGTGCAGCCTGGACATGGACCGACCGTCCTACAGTGCAAATGACTTCGCATGTTAAATAAAAACAGGAACATGGCCACAGCGGAGTCTCGAACACATAATCTATGCTTGAAATGAAGTAAAAAAGAAAAATGATCCTAAAAACCAATTAAATTACAAAGAGGCCTTTATGCCCGAGTCAGCGACCTCATGACCTCCATCCGGGATGACCCTGAAGCCAGAGGAGGCCCGTGCTCCCACAGCCATTCTCACACGTGGTTCAGCCCAAAGCTGTGACACAAATCCCACTCAGCTCAGTTTTCAAAGCGGAGACTCAGTGTTACCTTCACTTCGACTTGCTCACTCGCAAAACCTCTCCCGAAGCCAGGGGAAAGCTGCGTGTCACTGCAGCTTGTCACCATCCGTGGGACCGTCCACATTTTGATACAGTGACTGAATTCCCGAGGAAAAATAAAACAAACCTTATGCTCCTAACAACACAGGGCTGCCTTCTGGGATCCTGCTTCTCCGGAAGTGTTCTCTCTGGAGCAGTGCCCACCAGACCCACTTCTGCTGGGGAAGGCTGGGGGCGTGGCCACAGCCCAACCAGCTGCCCGGCTGAGGCAGCCAAGCTGGAGGACCAACGATTCTGCAAAAGCTAAGTCAACCTTACTTGCATTGCAACGGGTGATTCCTTTTCCTGTTTGGTATCCAGCAAACAAATCTCAGCAATACACGGGGAAGCCTATCCGAGGCCCCCCTTCCGCCCGGCGCCTCAGTAGCTGTACATCTGCTGCTGCTGCTCGGCCGGCACCTGGGGCTGCGCCGCGGGCGGGGGGGCGGCCTGCGGCTGCGGGGCCGGCAGCACGTCCGTCTGGGGCACCGCCCGCCACGTGAGCGGGTGCTGCTCACCGAGCTGGTTCCCCAGCGGCGTGATGGAGTTGACCAGCGTGGTCAGGTTGATGAAGTGGGCCACGGACTGCGGGTTCGAGGTTTCCGGCTGCGGGTGCAACTGGATGTCGTTCTGGCGGTTGTGCAGCATGGCGGAGCCACTGACAGTGTCAAAGGTCACCGTCAGGATCGAGTTGTCCAGCTGCAGCTGCCGTTCCGGGGTCGTGAGGTGCCCGACGGCCACCGGCTGCAGGTTGGTAAACTGAGTCCCCGCTGCCGTGGTGATGGGCGTCACGGTGATGTTGGTCAAGCCGACCGAGCTCGATGGAGTGGTCACGTTCGGGTCTCCCAGAGTCACCACCACCTGGAAGAGCCAACATAAGCGTGAGTTCCACTGAAGCCAGTTTGGCTCAGTGGACAGAGTGTCAGCTTGCGGACTGAAAGATCCCAGGTTCGATTCCGGTCAAGGGCATGTACCTTGGTTGCGGGCACATCCCCAGTAGGGGGTGTGCAGGAGGCAGCTGATCAATGTTTCTCTCTCATCAATGATGAGTGAGAATTAACAGTTGGCTGCCTCTTGCACACCCCCTACTGGGGACGTGCCTGCAACCAAGGTATATCTCCCATTGATGTTTCTAACTCTCTATCCCTCTCTCTTCCTCTCTGTAAAAAATCAATAAAATATATAAAAAGAGTGAGTTCCTGCACGGGGACGACGCAGGTCCCTCTGGGCGGCTCAGCACGCCGGAATAAGCACCACCTGCAGGAGAGAGCGAAGCACCTTCGGGTGGAGATGAAATCAGGTTAGTTTTGTCCTGACACAGTAACTCTGGAGAAAGGGAGAAAAAGACACAGCCACAAGCACTGAGGCCATCGGGTCGAAATGAGAAGCAAAGGACTCTGGGGGCTAGAAAACAGAGAGGAAAGTAACAACGAGAAAGACGGGTCCCCGTGTATTCCCTCTGAAGGGCGTGGTGGGCAGTGAGAAGGCGGCTAGGAAGCTAACGGGGCAGCAGGAGCAACAGCTAACAGACGGCCAGACAGCACTTCCTGTCCGGGGCAGAGGACGGGAGACCAGGTAAGCGTGTCCGCCAGCACCAGGCACACTGACGAGAGGTTTGGGGCCTCAGACCAAAGCGGGGGAGGATGGCGAAGGGGAAGATTCTATTTCAGGCAGCAGATGGCTGGCCGCCTGCGTCCTCCTGCCTCCAAGCCCCTCTGACGGCTCCTCCGGTTTGCAGGGTCCGCTCTCCCTGACGGGCGGCAGGGGCACTGGGCCATTCTAACTCCTGACGCCCAGCCAGGGGAGCGGCTCCCCTTACATCCTGTGTCCTGCTGCCACTCAGTGAATGACAGGTGTGACTTCTCGGTCTACGCTGAGGTTGGCGAGTGCTTAGGTGAAAATGGCCCCACAGGCATAACAGACGGGAGGGGAGCGGGGACATGTGGACCCCACCCGCCTCAATCTCCTTCACCCCCGCTCCCCGCCCCTGGCGCCCAGGGCAACTGCCGGCCCCGCCCCCCTTCCCGCCCCGCACAGTGACTGGGCCCAGCTCGGCGCAGGGAGCGCCACCTGCTGGATGCTCTGCACAGCAGAGTCGGTCTCGTCGCCCACACCGCCCGTGAACGCCGGCTCCTTCTCCGAGAACTCGCTGAAGGCCGCGTCCTCCGGCACCGGCGCCCCCGCCTCCTCCTCCTCCGGCTTCTGCTTCCTCTTGTGGCTTCTCCTGGCGGCTTTCACGGGCTTCCCTTCTGCCAGATCCTCCTGCTCCAGGCTCAGCTCCGGCTGCGGGAAAAGGAGTTTCAGCAGCTCGCAGGCCAATGGGTGAGCCCAGGCGGCCAGTGTGGTCCAGGGTCACAGCCAGGGTCACATCCAGGGTCAGCACTGAGGCTCTCGGACCTTCAGCTGCTGCAGGAAACGCAGTGGCCACAGTGTATCTGATCACTTGCGTTTCTAAAGACTGAGGCAAGTTCCAGGGATTTGTGTTAAGTGGAGGAAATGACATACAAGTCGCATTTTATAAAGCTACATTTTGGGGTGAAATATAAACAAAAATATAAAAAACAAAATTTGTAAGCCCTGATGTGCCCGGCCTGAGGCTAAAATGTTTCCACATCAGGTTCTCACCCCCAGAATGTCTTGGATCAAAACGGGTTTGACCACAGGAACAAGGCGGTCATCTCCTCGGGGGACAGCAAACAGGCCCAGCGACCCAGATGGTGCCCCACATGCTTTTCTGGGAGCTGGTGCCCCACGGCCAGTCGCCGAGGCCCCTGGGCAGGGTGTCCAGCCAGGAACTCCACTCCGGTCCTCCACTATCTCGGACCTCCCTCTGGGGCCTTCCCGTGAGACTTGGTCTGGTCCAGTGGCAGAGAGAGCCAGAAGAAGCCTGTCAGTCATGGTCACGTGGAACTGCCCTCATGGTGGGTGGCGGGGCAAGGAGGGGGGGGTCTCAGGGGCACTACAGGCATTGTCACGCTCACTCAGTACAGCCTGGCACCTGAGCTCAAAACACCATTTCAAAAAGAAAGAGGTAGATAGATGACTTCGAAACAGCTCAGAGTGTGACATGTTTTCTTTATAATAAAAGGAATTTTTATGAAGGCATTGCCCAAAAACTCCTTTAAAAGGTAGGTTCATCTACATGGAAAGTGAATTTTCATCTAGAACCTAATTATGGTAAGCTCTCCTGCAAACTACCTGTGATGGTTAATGTTAAGTGCTGGGGCAGGGGGCCAACTGCTTGGTCAAACAGTCCAGATGCTGCTGTGCAGCTATTCTTTAGACGACATTGACATTAAATCAGTGCACACGGAGTAAAGCAGACTGCCCTCTGTTATGGGCTTCATCCAATCAGGCGAAGGCCCCGGGAGAGAAGACTGAGGGCCCGGGAGGGAGAGGGAATTCTGCCTCCATGGGCCTGCAGACGTGAGCTGCAACATCCACCTGAGATTCCAAACTCTGCCCTCCACCTGAGATTCCAAACTCACCAGCCTCCATCGTCACTCCTTCAAGTTCTAGAAACTTACAGAAACGAAAAGGCTCTTGGAGAGAGAAGACTGACCAAAACGATGGAGCACGAAACAAAGGTGAGACGCAAAGCATGGACTACGGGGCTTCCCGAAGTGTTCCCGACACCTGCGGGGTTCCGGAGGCCCACCCGAGGGTGTCCGCGTGCCCGGGAGTCCCCATGCCCGTCCGCGGGCGGCGCTGTGCCCACCTGCACGATGCCGATGGAGGAGGCGTCGATGGTGGTGGTCTCCGGCAGGTGGTCCAGGTCATCGATCCTCACGGCCAGCACCTGCGGGAGAGCCGGAGCAGTGAGCGATGGTCCTCAATGCCACCCTGTGACCGCACCACCACCACCTGGCCACGCCCGCTCTGCACCTTTCTTAGCCACTCAAAGGGAAGACCGGGGCACAGGGCCGGCTTCTCCTTTCCTCCTGCTGTAACCCCAGTGAAAGGAACCTGGAACCTTAGCAACAACAAGCAAGGCTCTTCCCTCCGGTCATTCAGGGCCTCCCTCCCACAGGCAGGCGCTGCCATGCAGAGGGAAGGAGACCCAGGCCCGGCCTCGAGGACTTCCGGGTCTGCAAAAGGGCAGACCCATGAGCCAGGGTGGTGGGGTCTCCAGTCAAAAGAAGCTCGTCCCAGGCGGAGGGCAGAGGGACCAGGCCGGTGGGGGTGGGGCAGGGAGGAGGATGCTCACCTCTGGGTGTTTGCGTCGCATGTGTCTGCTCATGGAGGCCCTGGTGGACACCTTGGTCCCGCACAGCTGGCAGCTCTGTGCCTCGACCTTGTCATGCGTGAGCTGTACATGCTTCTGCAGCATGTACTCGGTGACGTATTTCTTGTCACACACGGAGCAGGTCCACTGCTTGCCCACTACACACACACACACACACACACACAGAGGAAAAGACAAGCACAGGTCATGAGTGAGGCTGGCCCACAGCCTGCAGGGTAGGCAGGAGGCCGCTTCACCCCCTGCGTGTGCTGCGGGACCGTCCCAGGTCAGGCCAGAGGGACCAGCACAGCCTGAGCGAGTAGGACAGTGGCCTCCTCCCGCCTGAGCGTGGAGCCACGTCATCGCTCCAATAACTGAAACTTTAAGGGTAGATATCTGAAAGCTGTACTGGGCTGATTTTTAGGGGCCACCACTGAGGCAGAACAGCACCCAATACTCTAAAACAGCCTGCAATGCAGGGTTACACGGCTGTCCCCACCCCTCCCACCCCCCAGGCAGCACCCTGCTTACCCGTGTGGATGAGCTTGTGGGTCTCCATGGTGTTTCTCTCACTGAACGTCTTTCCACACAATTCACACATGAAGTCTTTAATCCCTGCAGAAAAAGGTATACTTGCTGAAATCGGTTTGGCTCAGTGAATAGAGCGTCGGCTTGAGGTCTGAAAGGTCCCAGGTTCGATTCCGGTCAAGGGCATGTACCTTGGTTGTGGGCACATCCCCAGTGGGGGGTGTGCAGGAGGCAGCTGATCAGTGTTTCTCTCTCATCGATGTTTTTAGCTCTCTATCCCTCTCCCTTCCTCTCTGTAAAATCTCAATAAAATGTTTTACAAAAAATAAAAAATAAAAAAAAATAGGCACCCTTAACTCAGAGGTTTGTCACATCATGCTCTACCTACAGGACAAGCGGGAGGCTTGTCCCTGACAGGTCAGTACTCGGAGGCTGCGGGGAAGGCAGGTTGCCAGAGGCAGAGCATACATTTGCTGGTGGGAACTGAGCTGAGGCTTGGGAACTCTGCCCTCTGCAGGTGGCTTCAAAGGTGCTTCCTCAGGAGGGGGGCAGGTCATTTCAGCCCAGGGCCCACGGAGTGCCAGTCGTTCTGAGTGAGCGGAATCCGACTCAATGAGCTTTATTCTGCACTAGCTCATGCCAAGGGAAGGCAGACACCACACTTACGAAACGGGGGGTTACGTTACCCCAGTGCCCCCACTGACCATCTGTCTGGGGCGAGCATCCTGCTTGCCTGCAACCCGGGGAGCAAGCATCAGGTGAGCAAGACAGATGTACTCCCCAAACTGGTAAGAAGGTGGAGGGAGAAAGCCTCTAAAACAAAGGTTCCTCCAAAATGGAACACGACCTGTGAGCTGAAGGGCCCACCGATGGGCCTGTGAGTACAGACGGAGCCCCCAGAGGCACAGGGCCTGGGCCCACCGTGGCTGGAGGAGGGGCTGCAGGGGCAGAGGCCACACCCGCTGGCAGTGGGCGTGCAGCAGGGGGAGTGCAGCAGGGGGAGCGGAGGCTGGCGGCAGAGCGAGGAGGCTGGCGGCAGAGCAGGGTTGGGAGCGGTATAGCATGGCAGCACTAGAGGGGCCGGGACCCAGGCCCAGGGGAGCAGGAAAGCTCCCCGGAGAAGGTGAGGCAGGTAACGGGCGAGCTTCCCAGGAAGACACGGGCAGCACATGCTGTCCAAGCCATGCTGGGGACCCGAGCAGACCTCATGGTGGCCTGGACAGATATTAGGTCTAGTAATAATTAATGTCGTTTTCTAATACTTTTTTAAATCGAATTTATTTAAACAATACAACAAAATTTAATCAACAATATAGTTGCCGTTGTTTTCTACTACTTGTGCCCAACGCTCAGGAAGCATTTTAATCTCTCTGTTGTAAAATTCTTGTGATTTTGATGCAAAAAATTCGGTCAATGCATTTTTGAGGCATTCTTCATTATTAAATTTTTTTCCAAGAAGAAAGTTTTGCAAAGAACGAAACAAATGATAATCGGAAGGGGCAATATCAGGAGAATATTCAGGTTGAGGGAGAACTTCCCATTCCAACTGGCGCAGTTTTTCAGCAGTGATTCTTGCAGTATGCGGTCGTGCGTTATCGTGGTGAAGAATTACGCCCTTCCGATTAATCAGCGCGGGTTCTTTTTCTCTTAAAGCTTGGGCTAACCTTTACAATTGGGCACTATACACTGCACTTGTAATAGTTTGGTTAGATGGTAAAAGTTCATAATGAAGAATTCCTTTACAATTCCACCAAACACACAACATCACTTTTTTCGCATGCAAGTCAGGTTTTGGCGTGGGCTGCGGAGCCTCATTTTTGTCCAACCATTGAGGCCGCCTTTTCAAATTAACATACAGCACCCATTCTTCATCTCCGGTAACAATTTGCTCTAAAAACGGCAAATGGTTTTGACGAGAGAGGAGCAAACTGCAAATTGTGACTCATTGATTACGGTTGTTGTCGGTCAACTCATGAGGAACCCATTTTCCAAACTTTTGGACTTTGCCAAGTGCACGCAATTGATTGGAAATGGTTTTTTGTGAACAATTTAAAGTTGTCGCAAGCTCTTGTTGGGTAATTTGAGGATTTTGCACCAAAAGAGCTTGAAGAGCTTCTTGATCAAAATTGGACATACGGCCTCGACCACTCTTGTCATCTAACGAAAAATTTCCCACGCGAAATTTCTCAAACCAACGCTGGCATTTTCTGGCGCTAACTGCATCTTGACTAAGAGCACTACAGATGTTTTTTGCAGCCTCACTTGCTTTTCTTCCTAATTGGAACTCGTAAAGCATGCAGTGCCGAATATGCTCTTCATCTGCCATCTTCTTAGCCCTAGTTTTGCAACAAAAACCAAACCAAACACAAACTTTTTCAAGCAAAACTTGTTAATTGCACTTCACACGTTCTGTAGATACCACGTGTTTGAAGGTTATGTCAATACAAGTCAACGCCAAGCAAGATTTTAAACGAATGTTAAAAAACGACATTAATCATTACTAGACCCGATAGCTGAGGCGCACGGTAAGCTGGGCCAGGCCTAGAGGACCCCAGGCCATTTTAGGGAGGACAGCGAACAATGGTAAAGAGGCTCCTGCCAGGAATGTCGGCCTTAGACCAATGCCACCTCCAGGGGCAAGCTTCCTTCTGCTCTGGTGTCTACCTGAACCCCCCACCCACCACATGGACCACATGTCAATGTTTACACACAGCGGGCTCACACTGGTGTGGCAGAGGCTGCTTTCCTTCTGCGTGAATCTCACCGCTTTTGATGGCTGCCTCCTTCATGGCCGCACAACTGAGCCACTGCCGGCCGATGGACACTTAAGATGCCCCAGATCTGAGGTCAGCCTGCACACACGTCTGGGGCCCTGCCTGATCCCTTCCTGGCACACATTCCCACAGGGAATGGCTGAGCCCGACAAAGGCTCTGCAGAACTGGCAAGTGTCACCAAACTCCCAGGCGAGTCTGGCAGCGCCTGGACTCCTGTGCGCATGCGCAGTGACACGCACCAGGGCGCCTGGCAGGATGGGGCGCCTCCCAGATGCCCGTGGCTTCCCCGCACCTCCCAGAGCAGAGCTCGCTCGGACCGGACCGGCCGTTGGGAGCGAAGGAAGGTGAGAAGCAGCCAGCAAGGCGCTCTCTCGGGCCGTTTCGGCACGAGGCCCGGCAGTTGCCGCACTCACCGATGTGCCGCTTGTAGTGCTTGAGCATGTTGACCTTCTGCGCGAACTTGCGGTGGCACTCCTTGCACTCGTACTCCTTGATGCCCTTGTGCAGCTTCATGTGGTGGCGCAGCGCGTGCTTGGTCTTCATGCCTGCGGGCAGAGGCCGGTGGGCGCCCGCACCTGGACCCCGACAGACCACGCCCTAGACCTGTCTCTGCCGGTGCCCTGGGTCCCCCTAATGCCCTGGATCCCCTAATGCCCTGGGTCCCCCCAATGCCCTGGATCCCCCTAATGCCCAGGATCCCCTAATGCCCTGGATCCCCTAATGCCCTGGATCCCCTAATGCCCAGGATCCCCTAATGCCCTGGGTCCCCCCAATGCCCTGGATCCCCCAATGCCCTGGATCCCCCCAATGCCCTGGATCCCCCCAATGCCCTGGGTCCCCCCAATGCCCTGGGTCCCCCAATGCCCTGGATCCCCTAATGCCCTGGGTCCCCCCAATGCCCTGGATCCCCCAATGCCCTGGATCCCCCAATGCCCTGGATCCCCCCAATGCCCTGGATCCCCCCAATGCCCTGGGTCCCCCCAATGCCCTGGGTCCCCCAATGCCCTGGATCCCCTAATGCCCAGGGTCCCCCAATGCCCTGGATCCCCCTAATGCCCTGGGTCCCCCAATGCCCTGGACCCCCTAATGCCCTGGACCCCCTAATGCCCTGGACCCCCTAATGCCCTGGGTCCCCTAATGCCCAGGACCCCCTAATGCCTGGACCCCCTAATGCCCTGGATCCCCTAATGCCCTGGATCCCCCTAATGCCCTGGACCCCTAATGCCCTGGATCCCCTAATGCCCTGGATCCCCTAATGCCCAGGACCCCTAATGCCCAGGACCCCTAATGCCCTGGATCCCCTAATGCCCTGGATCCCCTAATGCCCAGGACCCCCTAATGCCCTGGACCCCCTAATGCCCTGGATCCTCTAATGCCCAGGACCCCTAATGCCCTGGATCCCCTAATGCCCTGGACCCCCTAATGCTCTGGATCCCCTAATGCCCTGGACCCCCTAGCACCTGTGCCCCTGACCCCCCTCCGGTGCCCACACCCCAGCCCTGGGCAGGCACAGGTGTCGGGGGTGCAGGAGGGAGAAGGGAAGGAGGGCTCGGCTCTGAAAGGCTTTCCCGGCACCAGGGAGCCGGCAGCTGCCCCACTGGAGGCCCGGCTCCGGCGCCACATGGGCGGGCGCCTGGGACCGCACCTTTCCCGCACTCGGCGCACAGGTACTCCCGGATGTTGTCGTGCACACGCATGTGCTCCTTCAGCATGTCCTTCCTGGCGAAGGACTTCCCGCACTGCTCGCAGGCGTGGCTCTTCACACCTGCCAACCAACGCGCCCACGTCAGTCCTGGCCCGCAGGCGGGGGAGGCATCAGGGCAGTAACTGGGGGGAAGGCGCCTCCCACAGCCGGAAGGCGCCCCTTCCTCCACCTCCTCGGAGCCTCCCCCGGCTCTCCGGCCAGGAGGTCCGAGGCCCCGGAGGGTGGTGAGGCAGGGAGGTGCCGGCGGACACCGGGGCCAGGACAGGAGGCGGACGGGGAATGCGCTGAGGGGGACGATGCGGGACCGCTCTGCGCACGAAGCCCGCGGGGAAGGCAGTCTCCCCCCCGCCCCTCCGTGCAGCCAGGCCTGCGCCTGCCGGAGCGCCTACCCGTGTGGATGAGCTTGTGCCGCTCCAGGTTCCCGATGCTGTTGAAGATGCGCCCGCAGATCTCGCAGGGGTGGATGTACCTGAAACAGACGGAAGCTCAGGGCGGGCGCCCGTGGGGGAGCGCCTGCAGCAGGCAGCCCTTTCCTGGGCACCACGAGACCAAAGGGGTAACGGAGAGGACAGCAGTCAGAGACTGCGGGGCTGTGGTGAACTTAGTGTCGCCAACTCAAACCCACGTTTCAGTCCTGACCCCCAGCCCCCGGAAGGGGAGTGTGTCTGGAGGTCAGGGCTTAACAGGCGGTGAAGCCGAGCTGGTCTCTGGCACATGCCTGCGCCAGGATGTCTGGTGTCCTTATAGAAAGGGTGAGCGTGCACACAGAGGCACAGGCCGTGGGGTGACCCTGTGCAGACACGGGCGATGAGGGCCGGGTATAAGCCAAGGAGGGGCCTGGGGCAGAGTCCCCCTGTCAGTCGGAGGGAGGCAGCCCTGAGACACCTTGATCTCGGGCTTCTGGCCTGTGCACTCTGTCCTGGCCACCCGAGCTGGCCACTGCGGCCACTGCGGCCATCACCACCACACCGCTCGGGCTCAGAGCACGGGCTCCGGCTGCAGCCCGACGGGGGGCTGGCCTTCAGGAACGCTGATGGCCGGGGAAAGGGTGGCGCCCCAGGCCTGTACTGCGCCGCCCGTGCTGAGTCCTGGCAGGGGACAGGCCGAGGCAGGACCGGTGGAGGATCGGTACCTCCCCAGCACCCGTGGGGCTCCAGAGCAGAGGGACATGCCCCTCCAGCATGGCTTCTCTGCCCCTCCCTCGGGCCCCTCCCGCCGGGGGAAAGCCTCACTTCTGCACGTTGGGGTCGGGCAGGTTCTCGCGGTGGATGACCATGTGGGCGTGGTAGGTGGCCTTCAGGGCGAAGCGCCGGTTGCAGGTGCTGCAGCCGTAGCCCTTCTCCTTGTGCACCTCCATGATGTGCTTCAGGTACTCCTTCCCGCGGCCGAAGGTGAGCTGCGGGGGGAACACGCTCACGTCGCACCGCTCACAGCTCGGCACGCACTGCCAAGCACCACGGTGGGGGGGATGCTGTGAGAGCCGTCACCTGGCAGTGAGGAGGGCACGCCCAGGGCAGGAGCAGCCCTGGCAGAACTGTGCAGTGGGGGATGTGAGAAGTGGACCCCAGCTGCTCCCGGGCCTCCCGCTCCTTTTCAGACCAGTGGGGTCCGACCGCCTCCTCTCCACCCACTGACCTCCCTGACCTCCCTCACACCCAAGGGTCCTGGCAGGAGCCCAGATGTGCACACGGGCTGGTGCTGGCAGAGAACATGGGCATCTGCACTCGACAGGAGTGAACTGCGCGCTCCCAGGCAGGGGTCCCAGTGCAGGGACCACCTTCATACAGCACGCCGCTGAGCCCGGGCCCTCTGAGCACACCCCGCTTCCACGCACGGGGCAGGCCATGGTGAAGAGCCACTGGCCCGAGGTGGGAGGGAGGCCCCTCATGCGGCCGACCTCCAGGGAGCCAGATCCCACCCGCTGGGCCACACGGCCATACGCAGGCCAGCCAGGAGACAGGTTCCGCAGGGTGGCCATGTGACAGCAGTGAGACCAGCATGCTTCCCGAGAACCAAGTGACAGGGGCAGCCAGCAGGACAGCTGTGTCTGCAGTGGGCCCCCCGGACTGAGCCCGCCGGGCCAGGCAAGCGGCCAGTTACCTGGCACCTTTTGCAGCTGTACTTGTGCGGCTCCGAGTCCGCGCTCTCGTCAGAATTGTCGTCGTTCTCCTCGGAGGAGATGCCGATCTTGCCGATGAACTCCTCCCTCTGGTGGTCGTCCATCAGCGCGATGTCCTGGAAGAGCCAGAGCCGGACCTCTAACCACGCGGCAAAGCTCTCCCGGCCCCGCACCCACTGGAGAGGCAGCGCCTCGGCGGGGAGGACGCCCACGGAGCTCCACCTGCTGCGTCCTGTGAGGGCCCCACGCAGACACTCTCCCTCGGGCCCCCGCACACCCCACTGCCCTGATGGCAGACCCACCGGGCCCTGCTCACATTCAAGTAATTCTGCAGCGCGCAGCCCCGAGCCCCGACCCCCGAGGGTGGGCAGGAGCAGCACACTCCCTCCCGCGGGCCTGGGTGTGAGCCCGGTGCTGCCTGCTCTTGGGAACTCCTAAGATCCCTGGCCTCGATGGCGGCTTGTCAGTGGGCGGGGCAGTGGGTGGGGGTGGTGGCTGTCAGTGGGCGGGACAGTGGGTGGGGGCAATGGCTTCTGTCAGTGGGCGGGGGCAGTGGGTGGGGGCAATGGCTTCTGTCAGTGGGCGGGGGCAGTGGGTGGGGGCGGTGGCTGTCAGTGGGCGGGGGCAGTGGCTTCTGTCAGTGGGCGGGGCAGTGGGTGGGGATGGTGGCTGTCAGTGGGCGGGGCAGTGGATGGGGGCGGTGGCTGTCAGTGGGCGGGGCAGTGGGTGGGGGCAGTGGCTTCTGTCAGTGGGCGGGGGCAGTGGGTGGGGGCAGTGGGTGGGGGCAGTGGCTTCTGTCAGTGGGCAGGGGCAGTGGGTGGGGGGGGGTGGCTGTCAGTGGGCGGGGCAGTGGGTGTGGGTGGTGGCTGTCAGTGGGCAGGGGCAGTGGGTGGGGGGGGTGGCTGTCAGTGGGCGGGGCAGTGGGTGGGGGGGTGGCTTCTGTCAGTGGGCGGGGCAGTGGGTGGGGGCGGTGGCTGTCAGTGGGCGGGGCAGTGGGTGGGGGCGGTGGCTGTCAGTGGGCGGGGCAGTGGGTGGGGGCGGTGGCTGTCAGTGGGCGGGGGCAGTGGGTGGGGGCGGTGGCTGTCAGTGGGCGGGGGCAGCGGCCTCTAAGGCCTCCTCCTGTGGGCTGTGACCCGGCTGGCCCCGAAGTTCCTGAAGCTCCATTTATTTCTCTGCAAGACTGCAAGGGTCACGCCAGCAGTCATTCGCAGGCAAGAAACACGGGATGGGCCCTGACTGGTTTGGCTCAGTGGGTAGAGCATTGTCGGCCTGTGAACTGGGGGGGGGGGAGGGGGGGAGGGAGATCCCAGGTTCGATTCTGGTCAAGGGCATGTGCCTTGGTTGCAGGCACATCCCTGGTGGGGAGTGTGTGGGAGGCAGCTGGTCGATGTTTTTCTCTAATCGATGTTTCTAGCTCTCTGTACCTCTTCCTTCCTCTCTGTAAAAAACCAATAAAATATATTTTTGAAAAAGAAAAGAAACATGGGATGGATGAGCCGCTATGGGGGTGAGCCCGGCTGAGGGAGCAGCGTTGCAGGAGCCGCAGACACCACGGGGGCCAGGAGACCTCGCTATGCTTGGTGGTCGGCCCCTGTCTCAGCAGCTCCTTCCAGCGGCTGCAGAGGGCGCTGTCCCCTTTCCCTGCCTCTGCCCATCTCAGGCAGAGGCTGCCAGCTCGCATGGCATGGAGGGCACGTCTCACCAGGGAGCAGATTCAGAACCAGGAGAACGGCTCCTTCGGAGAGCTCGCTCGCTCGCCCCTCCCCCTATGCCCTCGGCCGAAGCACCAGATTTCAACAAGAGCCGCAGTCCCGTCTCTTCCACTGTGGACTCTCACATCGACCACACTGAACCCGTTTCTGTCAGCAAAGAGGGCACCCCTCTCTCGGAGGAGAACTGCCTGGGGAGGACTAGCACCTGACCACAGACCACGGCCACGGGCACAGACCCACTGGGCCCAGCACCTGTCGGGTCTAAGTTAATGCTCAGGGAAACCGCTTTCCGTGGCAGGGCTCAGAGACGTGGGGGCGCAGAGGGGGGCAGAACTAGAACCCGCAGGTCCCGGCCGGGACATGGCAGGGTCCCGCGAAGTCCAAGCCCTTCTCCCCGAGGCTCTTTGCCCTCCTGGGCCCCTCCTCCTTCCCCAGCTTGGTCCACACGGCTCTGCGCCCGCACTGGAGCCCCCACAATCCTGCCTTGCCCCACTTTCTCCAGCATCTGCCCAGACAAACCCCAACGTGCACTGGGCTGGGAACTGCTCATCACTGAGCTGCAGGCCGGTGACAAGCGTGGGCACCCAGCTTCATCACCCAAGCCTCAGCACCACCTCCATCTCCGTCTCCCCTGGATCTGCACTTCTCCTGCCCGATGGCCCCAAGTCCTGGCCGCCTCCCCAGCCCCGGCCACCTCCTCACTTCCCTGGGGCAGGGAGAAGGGAAGCAAACCCGCACCCCGTCCGCCCGGCGGGCGGCACCAGGCTGGAGCCCTGCAGTGGGGCTGCCCGAGGCCAGCCAACGGGCACAAGGCCGCCTCTGACGCGAGGCGTGTGGCCAAGCTGACCGGCGGTCAGGACGCTGGCCCGAGGCCCCCACCCCGTGTGAGCGGCCGGGGCGGCGGGCGCGGGGCGGCGCGCACCTTGAAGTGGACGTGGATGTGGTCCCTGAGCACGTCCACGCGGAAGAACCTGCGGCCGCAGATCTCGCAGGTGTACTTCTTGTCGCCGTGGGTCAGCAGGTGCTTGTTCATGTTGCTCCTGCAGGAGAACACCTGCGGGCGGAGAGGTGACGTGGGGGCGCCGCTCACAGCATGGGCCACGCTGCGCAAACCGTAACCACCAGCAGCTCCGTCTCCTCTCGCAAAGGTCAACACTCCGGCCACGGGCCCTGGCTGCCACCTGCGACCATCGCTCTCTGTCCGGACTGGCAGCTGCTAACGGGACTGTGTGTGGCTGAGACCCAGCAACTACCGAGCCCAGGCCGGTGCTTATGTCCCCGACGACCCCAGCTGGTGGGGGCGGGGAGCCCCTGTGGGAGTTCCCCACCCCCCGGGTCCCCCTGCAGCAAGTGCTCTGCAACCAAGAGGGACACGGTCCCTACCCCTGGGCCTTTGCACGTCCTCGTCATGGGAGGCGGGTCTGAGGAGAGCCAAGGCCGCAGAGCTCATTCACAAAGAGCACCCCACTTCCGTGGCTCCCGCACGGCTGACGGCACCGGGGCCTCTGATGGGCAGTGCACTGCTGGGCATTTAAGGTCACGCTAAGGGGTCGCCTGAACGGACCTGCTCCCAAGGGTGACATCGTGCTTCGCTCACTCAGGGAACATGCAGTTGCTGGTGCTGTCACTCGGAAATGCCACGGAGGAGACAAGCACCGACAGACAGAATTAAGCCCCAGGACGGCCTTCCCCGGGGAGCGGCTCTCATCTCTGCCAAGGGACACGTCTCAGAGATGCCAAGAGAGAGAGAGAGAGAGAGAGAGAGAGAGAGAGAGAGAGAGAGAGAGAGCGCGCGCGCATGTGCCCGGGCACACGCCAGCGGAGATGGTGGCAAACAAGGAAAGGGGCTCTAAACGAGGAAGCACTCATCCCTAGGCTCCCTCGCCGGAAACACAGCTCAACAGCGAAGGATCACAGTGACGAGGCCACGAGTGAGTGGACACTGCAGCTTAGGACAACCCGAGAGTCATGTCCCCCCGGAACCGTCCCCAGCAGGCAGTGGGCAGAGCTCCGACCCGTAACGGCGGGAAGCGATGAGCTGTGTGCTGGGTGACGGGGCAGGCGGGCGTTACCTTGCCGCACACGGGGCACCCGGAAGGCTCCTTCTTGTAGCGCACCAGGCTCTCCCCGCTGGTCTCCAGGTCTTCCCTCTTCACCCGCCGGACGCCTGGCGTGCCCACCGCCCGAGCGAGAGAGGAAATACGTGACATCGGTCAGTTCCGCTGCAGCCAGTGTCATTCAGAGGATGACAGTGTGAGACTCATGAGTGAGCGGGGGTGGGCGTCCCTGGGCTCTGACATGAGCATCAGCGCTAACCGCTGCGCACAGGCTCCCGGGAGAGAAGAGACTGCAGCAGCCTCGGTTCGGTGACAGGGCTCTGGCACCTGAAACCTCTGGGAATGCGAGGGCAGCGAGTGTTTTCCACTTCACGGCGTGGAAGGTTCTAGCGAACGACCTAGCGGTGTCTGCGCCCAGTGACAAGGCAGGCTTCTCGGAGACGGCTCTAAGTAGGCAGGCTTTTTACTAAAGAGGCTAACGCTCATCCTTCAAATTAAACCAGCTGAATTAGGGCCTCGATGCAGAGTCAGCTGATAATAAAACCCTATGGGTTTCAGACTTCGGGGCTTCTTGGGGTGCACAGAGGAGCCAGGAAAAACCAGTCAGGGCCCCCCAACGCCTCTGCCTGGATGCCGCTCCACGCACACGGTGGAGTGCTCACCTGTGCAGTTTCCGTTTTCTTCCTGCTTTCTCTCGTGTGGAAAGCACTTTGCCAGAGTGCTGAAAACTCCCCGAGGAACTGTAACGACTGCATAGCACTCACTCCTACAGAGCGTGTTTCCTTAGCTTTCCCTCCTGGGTACTCAGGACGTTCCCACTGTCCCCACAGTTCCCACCGACACCCCGAACCCTCCCTCGGCCCGAGCTGACTCCCCGCGGCTCGAAGACTCCATCGGATGGTGGCGGGGCGGACCTGCGGCCAGAGGGCTGGTGACAACACGCCCCCCGCCCCCACCGAGCCTGCCTGCGCGGTGCTCACCCTCCAAATGCCTCCGCTGGTGGTCCAGCATGACATCCTTGCGGTAGAACATCTTGTTGCAGACTTCGCAAGCGAACTTCTTGTCCCCGTGCTTCTTCTTGTGCTTGGAGAGGTTGCTGTTGGTGGAGAAGAATCTGAAACACATCTCACATTGGAACGTCTTGTCATCTGTCCAGAAAGCAAGCAGACACGGCAGCTTTTAGGTCAACGGCGGCGGATGCAGGCTCCGCGGCGCGGCCGTGGGAGTGGCAGTGGGCGTGGGTGAAGGAGATGCGCGAGGACCACGCGGCCAGGAGGCCAGGTCACCCGTGCTGCTGTCCAAGCATAGGCTGGAGGGCTGGTTCCCAAGATTCAGCTCACCTCCTCCTGCCCCAAGCCCAGCCACATCCTCCACCACACTCCTCGCCCCCATGGCATCCAAACGATTCTGCCCACAGTGCTCCCCTGGGAATGGGCCAGTCCCCACCTGCTCCCTCTGTGGCACTGCGCCCTCCCTCCAGGCACCAGGACGCCCCCTGAAGGCCTGCACTGGGTGAGCATGGGCAGCGGGCACCTGCATGGCGCCAGCACCCCTCCAGCAGTCTGTCCTTGCCCGGACCCCCTGGGCTCTCCCCTTGGTTCAGGGATCTCAGGGCCTCGTACCCAGCACAGGCCCCGACCCTCTCCGTGTTGTGCTGTGCTCTGCCCCTCAACCCACCCCCATCCAGGGATCTGTGCCCCCACAAGCCCTAAGGCAGCTCTCACTGCCCATGGCCCCGCCGGGTCCCCCTGCTGGTGGGCAGGACAGAGTGGGTCACGGGGGCATCCCCCTTCAGAGGGAGGCCTCAGGACACACCGTGACATCCTTGTCTCGGGCCTGGGGCTCCAGCCCGCTGACCTGCTCCTGGAGTCAGCAAACGTTTGCCAAACACACAGATCACTGAGGCTCACACAGCCCTGCTGCTTCCTACCCTGAATCTGATGGCTTCTCACTGTGCTGTGCACGGAGCCCTGGTGCGTTTAAATACCCCCTGCTCCCTCCAAACACACCCCCCTACACACACACACAGGGTCTCAGACACACGTGGGCCACACCGTCCTCTGTGGGGGCCGGCCTGGTAGGTGGATGTCCTGCAGCGCCCCCTCACACAGCCAGTGTGACACCAACATGTCCAGGCGGGTGGGGGGGGGGGAGGTTAGGTGACCCCGATGCACAGCCCAGGTGCATCTACATGATCCCCTGTACACACACTCACACGTATGCAGTATGTGTGCTTAGTGTGCAAAACATGTTCACGCTTATTTCAGTGGCTATGTAACAGTGCACTTGGCCCCTTTACCACAGTTTACTGCATTGTTTTCCATATTGCAGATAACTCAGTGACCTCCCCTTTCTGCTCAATCTCCTGAGCACGGCTTCTTAGGGTGGGACCACCAGTCCAAGGGCGTCTGCATCTGCTTTGTGGAGGCCACACGGTCCCTGGGCTGTCCCACCAGATCACAGAGACCCCACCCTCCCCGCGCCTGCAACACCACCCAGTGAGCCCCCCTCCCGGGCAGGTGCTCACAGCACAGGTGAGCCGCCGCCCCGGGCAGGCGCCCCACTAGCGTGGAAGGTACAGCGTGCCCGTGGCTTCAGCTTTCTCTCTCACGAGGCCCTCCAGCATATGGTGAGAAATCACCTGCAACTATTCCCGGCTCATCTGCTCAGGGAGAAGGAGTGGGCAGGGCTGTGGGCACGTCCCTCACTCAGGGTGGGTTTCCTGTGTGGCATCCAGTCACCAGGTTAGGAATGCAGATGGGCATCTGGTTCCAACAACAACTCTCTCCACCAACAGCCCTGGTGGCTTTGGGGTCTACATTTATCTCTCTATATAAAAGCCTAAGCAACAGAACGACCAAATGACAGGTTGACCGGTTGCTATGATGCACACTGACCACCAGGGGGCAAATGTCCAATGCAGGAGCCGCCCCCTGGTGATCAGTGTGCTCCCCCAGCCAACCTCCCACAGCTGGCCAACCTCCCGCGGCCCCCCCCCCCCCCACTGGCCAGCCAACTTCCCACAGCCCCTCTCGCCAGCCAGGCCGAGGGACCCCATCTGTGCATGAATTCGTGCACCGGGCCTCTAGCACTTTAATAAAATGCAGTGGCTGAGAACAGATGTCTATCAGTTGGGATCTGTGAGGGTGTGGGCGCAGGGTCATCCAGAGATAAGACAGCAGATTTCCAGGGAGCCGACCTGCATGGGAGCCTGGATGTGAAGCTTTGCTATTCACTAGCATAGTCTGATGGTCAAGGGCATTCAGGGACCACTCAGAAGAGTTATACCCACACCTGTCACACCCGGGGCAGGCCCTGCTGAGAGGAAGCATGAGAAAAATCCAGAAGACGATACGTTTCAAAGTTTCTCCCTCCCCTGGGACAAATTCTTGGCTTAATGGCCTATGGAAGACACACATTTTCTTATGTGAACACATAAAAAGGCGTAACAGTATGCGAATGCTGCATTTGGCAAATAAGCTCCCTATCAGGCTCATCTCTTACTTTCCATCAGAACTTGTACCCTTTGAAAGAGCCTCTCAGGAAGGAGAAGGGGCATTCCAGCTGCCGCCGTTACTTCCATGTGACGGAGGAAAGGTCTGCTTTGTCAGAACTCTGGCCGCGGTGCAGCCCGGGGCTCCGCCTCCTGTCACTTTCGGCTTCACCCGTGTCCAGAGAGACGGCTCCAGAGGACACCTCCTCTTCCTGGACCCTGAGTCCCTCCCCGAACACCGGGCGGGTGCCGCTCCTGCTCCGGACCCCTGGCAGCCGCCCCGTTCCTGCAGGCACGCAGACCTGCGAGCGGCCGCATGGGCGTGGTCCGACTCAGAACAACAGCCCAGGCTAAGGCTGGCTGACCGCGGGCGCAGCACGGAGACTGCGGGGGGACCTGCCGGTCTGGGGCAGCGGGGTGCAGGCTCAGGATGTGGGTGTGCGACACAACGGAAGTCCGTCCGAAAGCTGCCAAGGCCACTTAGAGCCGGAGACACAGAGGCTGCGGAGCAGCTGGCGCTCGGGTGAAACAGGACCTGTCTGCCACTCGGAACAGTCCCGCCATGGGAGCGAGGCGCCATGGACGGGACACGCCAGGCGGGACCCTCCCACACGACAAACACACACACACAAACGAGCCAAGCAGGGTCCCAGCGGGCGCTGCCGGGCAGGCGCCGGCTGCGGAGGGAGGGGCTGTGGAGACTTGGCTAAGGCCGGTTCAGGGTCCCCGGAGCCCCGCCTGACCAGGAACCCGCACAGAGATACAGGGACGCACACAGAGGGTCGACAGGAAGGGTTCGGTATCGCAGGCTAACCTGGTAGGTCGCTAAGCCGACTGCCACGGGTCCCCCCCTCTCCCGGGTGTGCTAGGGTTCCTGGAGAGAGGGAGAGCGCAAGTCACCCACGGAGCGCAGGGGCGAGCGGTGGGGGCGGGGCGGGGCTGTCCGTGGGCTGGGCGCCTGAGCCACTGCCTCCTGCCGGCCGCGAGTATGTCTACGGCACCTGTGCCTGCCAGCTGCCAGCTTGCCCAGAGACAGGGCCCAGCACGCTTGCCCGGGCCCAGGGAGGCCCCCGCAGCGCGGGCTCGTGGCAGCATGAGGAAACGAGGGTCCCTGTCACTCCTGGAGACTGGCGGACAGAAGTGGACTCAGGACAACGTGGTCTGGACACGGGCAGCTCCATGCAGAAGGGAGGGTAATGGATCCCGAAGCCCCTGCCGACGAGTGGGAGACATCACTCCTGCAGGCAGCACCCACCCACCTCCCGCTCTCACGTGGTCCTAGCACAGATCCGACACGGCTGCTCGCCACCACGCTCAGCGAGGTGGCATGCGTGGAATCTCACACGTGGGGCATGTGTAAGAGGGAGTGGGGACATAAGTTCCTTTAGACACAGGACGTCTCCATCTGTCTCCAGGCCAGCTAATGACTGCTCGGAAGCAACACGCGTGGCGGGGTTATCTGTGACCTCTACCTTGACCCCCTCCTGCTGTCCCCCAGCTCCCACCCCGTCTCCTGGGACTCAGGGCCGGGGCCGGCCGCTCACCTGTCCTGCAGTTGTGGAACTCCAGCGCGCTCTCGATGCGGAAGGTCTTCTCACAGGTGCCGCACCGGTACCTGTACTCGCCGTCCACCTGGGCAGAGGGCAGCGCGTCAGAGAGGAGGGGGAGCCCCGGGGAGGCTCAGGCAGAGCGAGCTCCCGGATGAAACATTCTAGCACCTTCCACGGGTGTGTGGTTTACGACGTTTCTCTCCTGCTCTCCTGCTCCGCTGAGGAACATGAAGCATTTTCACTCTTCCCGCCCCATTGCCCTAGAAAGAGCACCCCATACTCAGGCCCCCGCCCAGCCCGAGGGCCACCGGCCCCCGCCACTCCTCCAGCTCCTGTCCGCGCCAGGCCGGGCCACCTGGGTGCGTCCAGAACCGCGGGGCTCAGCGCTGTGGTCCTCTCCTCTCTCCTGGCTCTCACTTCCCTCCCCAGCCTGACTGCTCGGTCCGTGGCCTGCTTCCTCCATAGCTGTGGGGGGATGGCGGCTGCGCCCACCTCGTTCCTGCTGTGCTTGTAGGACACGTGCTGCTTCAGACTCTCCTTCCGGCTGAACAGCTTCGCACACTCCTCGCACTTGAACAGCTTGTCCCCTGCGGAGCCGACAAGAACAAGCCGATCCACGACTTGTTCGGCCGGAGCCACGCGCGCCCCGTCCCTGAGCGGCTGGCACTCACCGTGCGAGCGCACGTGCCGGCTCAGGTTGCTGCTGTTCTGGAAGACCTTGCTGCAGGTGCCGCACTGGTACACCCGCCGGTGCTCCCCCAGCTGCCGCACCAGCTTCCGCCGGATGCCGTGCCGGGCGGAGAGGATCAGACTCCTCTTGAGAGTGATGCTGCTGCTCTGATGATGCGGGAACCTGCCGGGTGGGAGGGGAGCGGGAAGACAGGTGGGACACTGAGTTCAAGGTTACAGTCATCTTGGAAGGGGTCCTTCCAAATCGTCCCAGCACGATGGGAGAAGGGGGCCAAGCTCGGCATCGCCCGGAGCCGGGGCACCGGAAGGAGGGGCACCAGGCACACATCTGACGGCGCCTGCCTCTGGCCACCAGGAAGCGTCACACGGGACGTGCGCTTCGGCTGGAGCAGCCAGGGCCCTGCAGCTGTCCTCACAGGCCCGGCCTCCGCTGTCTTATATTCTCCCTGATCCTGATTTTTACAGTGTCTTCCGCTGTGTGTTCCTGACTGTTCCCATGGAAACTCTCTGGCCACTCAGACAGACTGTAAATAAGTAAACAGACAACAGCCTTCAGACATGACTTTGGTTTCAGTATTTCCACAGGATTCCAGCCTACCAAGGACCAGGCGCACTTTGACAAAAGTAAGAGGACCCCCAAGAGAGCTGGTGGAGAAAAAACTGCCACCAGCTTATTCAGCGTCAAGACAATCATTTCCTAAGAATGACAACAGAATACAAGTATTGTCTTTGTCCACTGAAAGAAAGAGAAAACACAAAGTAAGGAATGCAGATACAAAACTGCTTTATAACAGCAGCAATATTTGAGCCCACCCCCCACTGTCACCCACCCCCAGATCCCCATTCGCCATCAGTGATCAGAGCCTGACAACAGGGGAAGGGACCAAGAGGTGGTCAATGCACCTTACAGCGACTGGTCGAGCGGTCATTCTGGTCATTCCATCAATTGGTTGATTTGCATATTACTCATATATATATTGGGGGGGGGGGGCAAGAGGGGAGGCAGCCCAGGTACCCACAGAAGCAGGAATGGATAAACTAATTGGTCCATACCACCGTGAATGTTACTCAGCCTGAAAAGGGAGGACATTCTGACCTAGGCTACCCTTCGATGGACCTTGAGAACATCATGCTGAGTGAAGTAAGCCCATCGCAGAAGGACCAATACTGTGTGATTCCACTTACACAGGCACCTAGGGTGTTCAGATTCACAGACAGGGGCTGGGGGTCGGGGGATAAGGAATAACTATTAAATAAGTATGGAGTTTCACTTTAAGGAAGATAAAGATAGTGAATGTAAGTAACCCACTGACCTATACTCTTAAAGCTGATCATGATGGTAAAGTTCATGTTATGTCTACTTTACCACAATAAAAGTATTTCTCACACTGTTTGCACGGTGGACGCACCATTAAGCTCCTGGGTCCAGAGTTTCTGCTGCTTGCTCAGAAACACACTCATCCGCTTCCACCACGAGAAGCACACCCCTCTCCCCACGAATCCGCTGCCCCCGCCTCCTGCCCCGAGCGCAGAGGCAGGACTCACTTGGGCACTGAGGTGGCCTCGCTGGTGGTGGTGGCCAGCTTCCCCAAAACCAGCTCCATGATGTGCTGGTCCGGCGCTGCAGGCACCGGCTCGTCCGGTGGCACCTCGGCGATGATCTCTGCCACGTGCTCTGTGCGGACAGAACGGGACCGCCACGTCACAGCTGGCCAGGGGACTGAGCACAGCCAGCCAAAGCGGTACGCCCAGGGCACCGCAGCCGGGCCAGGCTTACATGGTTAACAAAGGAAAGGAAGACTAGATATTCTAGAACCTACATGTTTATCTGTATATACAGAAAATCAAGATGGTATTCATAACTCAAAACTCGGTTATACATTGTGATGCTTTTTTAAAACCACAGCAGTCCGAGCACTATTTCAATCCCTCAGCATACCAACCCAAAGCAAAACATTTTCACACATATTGGGATCTTAAATGTATTAAATTAGGGGTGTCAGAGACTTAAAGATATTAATTTTGATATTAGACAATCCAACCTGAATATGTCCAAAAGCAGGTAACTGCAAGCACAAGAGACAAGTATGACATAACCACAATTATAGGGATCTGGGTCCGAACCTCTGGACAAACCAAACGGGGGAAGATCACACATGAAAATTAGCACTGGTCCTCCCACCTGCCTCCTACATGCCTTCCTAATGCAACTAACCGCTAATGAACTCATCGCCGAAGAGGGTCCTGCCTCTGCACTGGCCCTGGCCGGTGTGCAAAAGGGAAACTGTGCAGGAAGTCTAACCCCTCAGACCTCGTCAGGTCCACAGAGCATAGCCTGCTGGTCACCTGCTGGCTCCGCCCCCAGGCCAGCCCTCACCTGCTGGCTCCGCCCCCAGGGTCAGCCCTCACCTGCAGGCTCCGCCCCCGGGGCCAGCCCTCACCTGCAGGCTCCGCCCCCGGGACCAGCCCTCACCTGCAGGCTCCGCCCCTGGGGTCAGCTCTCACCTGCTGGCTCCGCCCCCAGGCCAGCCCTCACCTGCTGGCTCCGCCCCCAGGCCAGCCCTCACCTGCTGGCCCCGCCCCCAGGGCCAGCCCTCACCTGCTGGCTCCGCCCCCAGGGCCAGCCCTCACCTGCTGGCCCCGCCCCCAGGGCCAGCCCTCACCTGCAGGCTCCTTGTCTTCAATGATGACCAGTGGCTGTTCCGGTTTCTGTTCTGGTTTCGAGGCTCTGGGTTTCCTCCCCCTTCGAGGCTTTTTCTTCTGCTCTTTGGTGGAGGTGATGCTCTTGGGAACTGCAGGAGGCTCCCCCCGAGGCCCCTCAGGTTCCCTCTCTGGAGCCCCTTCCTGCTGGCTGGCCGCGGGGAGGCTTTTGGTTTGTTCCAAGTGACCCAACAGATGCTCTGCAGGAGAGGGAGGCGGGCGCACAGGGGCGGGAGGCAGCTGGTCAGTGTCCGCTCCCTCCCCACTGCTTGTTTCTGTTTTCAACTTTACTTGCTAATAGTGTGCCCTCTGCAGAGGTAACCTGCATTCCCACTGCTTTTGAAAAGAAAGCATTCCCATCCACAACTAGTTTTTAAAGTCAGTCAGTGAGAAGCGCAGGGCGGTTCTGTACAAATGGAAGCCTGCGCACACACGCACGTGCGAAGGGGCAGTGGAAGGCATGTCAGCATGTCTCTCTCCATGGTGACAGTCTAGGCAATTTTGCTTCTCGTCTTTAAGCTTATTTGCATTTTCTAATTTTTCCACAATACGTAACAGGATTACTTAAAAACGTAACCTCTAAGAGGAAAAGAGCAATGTTCAATTTGTGATAAACACCATGTCTTTAAAAACACTGCATAAAAGCAAAAAGACAAAAACTGGGCTTTGTTTTCAACTGAAGAAGGCCTCAGAGGCCTCCCAAGACAAGAAAACTGGACGAGAGTGGCCAGTCCCCCTGAAGGTGAGTCCAGCACAGCCCAGCCGCACAGCAGGAAGGAGGGAGGACTGGCGGGAGGTGGACTGATGCACCAGATGACGGAAGGCACCTGGCACTCACGGGCCCAGGACTCATTCTTCCTATTGGAAAGCTCCACTGGGAGGACTCAGGCGCTGTATGAAGTGGCCGCTACGCCTTCATTTGTCCCATACGGAGGGGCACTGCTGGGTGAGTGCCCTCAAGAATGAGGGAGAAAAATAAAATTACACGCAGACACAGTGCTGTGTGACACATGTCAGAGGAAGGGTTTGGCAGTTCAGCCGCACAGAACAAGGCAACAACGAGTGCGCCTGGCTGCCAACACTTGGAAAGACGAGACAGAATACAGAGCTCCCGCCCCCACTGCAACACACTGCAACACACTGCTGAGCTTACGGGCATCTCGTGATGCCAGATACGCAGAGGCGCTTCAAGCCAGAGTGTAAAAGCCGGAGCGGGGGAGGCACTGGGCTGGGGAGGCACTGGGCTGGGGAGGCACTGGGCTGGGGAGGCAGTGGGCTGGGAGGCACTGGGCTTGGGAGGCAGTGGGCTGGGGAGGCAGTGGGCTGGGGAGGCACTGGGTGGAGGGGAGGCAGTGGGCTGGGGAGACACTGGGTGGAGGGGAGGCAGTGGGCTGGGGAGACACTGGGTGGAGGGGAGGCACCGGGCTGGGGAGACACTGGGTGGAGGGGAGGCAGTGGGCTGGGGAGGCACTGGGTGGAGGGGAGTCACCGGGCTGCGGGAGGCACTGGGTGGAGGGGAGTCACCGGGCTGCGGGAGGCACTGGGTGCAGGGTCATTGACCTGAGGGAGGCACTGGGCGAGGCTGGTTCCCTGGCACGGCACGCAGGCCTGGGAGACAGGCTTGAGGCTCACTAAAGCAGGGAGCCTCGGACGCCATGCATTTTGCTGTCCAAAGGGATGGTGTGCTGGAGAGCCGTCTCAGTGGCCTCAGCAGAGGGCTTTCAGAACTCTGGCCCAACAGCCTGCCCCCCGGCCTGTCTTACCGTTCAGCAGCGGCAGCTCCAGGAAGGTGGCGGAGCACACTTTGCACACCCACGGGCTCGGCTCCGATTCCACCGGGGCGCTGCTGTCCGGGGTGCCTGCAGCTTCAAGAGAGAGACAAGGTGACCCTCCGCCATCCGTCTGTCCATGAAGGCCCAGCCCAGCCCAGCAGAAACCACCTGTCCTGCAGGCGGCAGTGACACAGCGATCGCTCGGGGACCACTTCCAATGGCCCCGGCGCCACTGTGCTCGGGATGTCCTCGTGTCACAGCTGAGGACACGGAGCTCCGAGAGCCGCAGCGGCTGAGGCAGGGACTGTCTCCAGTCGCAGAAACGGATCATCCTCCAGGAAGCCAGTCTAGGGCAGTGGTCGGCAAACTCATTAGTCAACAGAGCCAAATGTCAACAGCACGACGATGGAAATTTCTTTGGAGAGCCACATTTTTTAAACTTAAACTTCTTCTAAAGCCACTTCTTCAACATAGACTCACCCAGGCCATGGTATTTTGTGGAAGAGCCACACTCAAGGGGCCAAAGAGCCGCATGTGGCTCGAGAGCCGCAGTTTACTGACCACGGGTCTAGTGGGACCAGGCCCATCCTTCATACAACCTCGAGGGAAAAAAATGCATCCTACAGACAAAACCCAATTCCCCCGTCTCTCATCGGCTCGCACAACAAGGGGCTCAAACAGCCGTCAGTGTGCCCTGGGCCTGGGGCGGCCACCTCGCCCAGCGCTGCCCACCACTCTGTGCAGAGATGGGAATACTCTGTAACGCGCTGTTCGGGCAGCGGCCACACATGCTTGTGTCCCCAAGAAACTGAAGTCTTACACCCACTTAATCTGGATTTGGGTCTGAATGGCCCCCGGGGCGGGAGGCTGCTGTCCTGCAGTGCCTCCAGTTCTTCCCTGCAGAATCCCGGGGGCTAAGAAGGGAGATGACTGGGGTCCATGGAGGACAGAGGGAGGCCTTGACTTTGAGGAGGGGAACTGCAGCTCCTTTAAAAAAAATTACGGGTGCTCTCATGGGACCTAAATGTTGGGGTCCTGATCTTCTGGCCCAGCCTGGTCTCCCTAACCCTGCCTGGCTGATCAGAGCTGGACCGAGGCCATAAGCCATCAACACTACGTCCGCTCGCTCACTATACAGCTCATGTGGACACACGTGGGCCACTTGCACAGCAACGCCTGGGCCCTGAACTGAATCACCCAGAACTGAGAGTGCTCATGCACTTGGCATCGGGGGAAAGGCGGGCAGAGGCAGCGCAGGGGGCCTGGGCAGCCGCTATGTCACTAGCTGGCCCATGGGCCTGGCACACACAGGTGGGCGTTACCTCAGGCCCCGGGGAAAGGCCTACCTGCGAGTTACCAGCACGGACAGGGCTACATGATCACTCAGCAGGCAGTGCTCTCAGGAGGAAGAGAAATAAAGAATCCCACTAACCACATAGGTAAGAGGAGTCAATCACTTTCCATGCATTTCCAGAAATATCTGCTTGCCATTTGTCTCAAACAGAAAACCATAAAAAGTATTTCTAAAATGTTAGAGTACCTAAGTTGCTTACTTATTTTCCCAACTCAAAGCCTTGCTTGGGGTGAGCCTGCCTTCCAGTTTATGCTGGTTGTCTGACATAATTATTAGGTTCCCCCCTCCCTCCCCCGCACCCCGTTCTCAGAAGCACAGAGGAGGAACTAGCTGCCCTCATATTCCTGACTGAGAGTGGTTAGGACTAATTTCATTAAAATCTATCGTCTCCAAAACCAGCTCCAGATGACAGAAAGCTCTCCAGCAGATAAAGACACAGGACAACGGTAACTCCGCTAAGTGGCACCAGGCTCTGCTTTGGCCTTGACCCTGAGAGTCGTGAGGGGTGTGCCATCGTCCAGGACACAAATGACAAGGTCAGCCTCGAACAACCCAAATGCTGACATGCCGTCTGGCTGCTCCCAGGCACACAGGGCGTCAGCTGCCTGTGCCACGAGGAATCAGGCACCAGGAGACCAGGTCAGAAGAGCTCGGTGACCCTGGACAGGCCAGCAAAGCCTGGTGCCAGTCGCGTCCTGGGGTCTCTCGGGGCCATGGAAAGGACCCGTGCCACCAAGATGCACAGGCAGGAAAGATTTTTTAAGGTGAAGACAGCATGTTATTTATTTATTTAGTCACTCAGCTTTTATTTGTTTATTTTTCCTGGACCCTGGTTTGTCAGATACGCACTATGATTTGCTTTTCCAATAGAAGCATCAGGGTTGAGCCAATCACACGTATGACTGTCACGGGGTATTTCTTTGCACACACACACACGTGTGCACACACAAGTGGATGCACACACCCCGGTTCTGGAGGAGGCTGCAAGGTGACAGCCCCACCCGGGAGCCAGATTCCTCCGTCTCCCGCGCTGGGACCAGGGCAGGCTCCTCACCTCCCTGTGGCCGGTTTCCTCCGCCCAAACCAGGGACAAGCACAACCTCAGAGACGAGGCTGAGTCACCGTGCGGAGAGCGCGGAGGACTTACTGCAGCAGAGCTGAGGGGTACAACCTCCCGCCAGCAGGCGTCTGGCTCCGGGGTGGGCTCTGTCTACCAGCTGGATATTTAATAAACAGAACAACAGGCCCGGACAAGGGGGTCAAGACCACCCCACCGTCCTCCCCAGGCACAGCCAGCTCGCCAGCACCATTCCTCACTCACGCCGGCTTCCCGGGTGCAGCCAGGAGGCTCCCACGTACCGTGGACGCCCGCGCAGGCCTGCTTCAGCATGGGCTTGTCCATCTTCTTGGCGTAAAAGGCCGCGTACCACACGCGCAGCTCCGTGCCCGGGGGGATGTCCCGGGAGGTGGTGAAGTACACGTCGCTGCCGTGCTGGTAGGCCGTCAGGTTCTGGTGCTCGGGCTCCACCGCCGGCCGCACCAGCATCATCCAGTTGCAGTCGTCCTCGTTGGAGGTGTCGAAGCACACGGGGTGCCCATCCTTCTGGAACACCTGAGGGGAGCACGCCCGCCAGGGGCCGGGCCGGGGAGGATCCTGTTACCCACTGTCTGCGTGTCAGCATGTGTGCGTGTGTGCGTGCGTGTCAGCGTGTGTGTGTGCGTGTGTCTGTGTGTGTGTCAGCGTGTGTGTGTGTGTGTGTGTGTGTGTCTGTGTGTGTCAGCGTGTGTGTGGGGAGGCGCTAAGCAGTTTAGACGGTTCTACTGTGGAGGACACATGAAGCTCTGCACTGGTCCTGTTTACAGTAGCTCCGAGGGTCTCACACAGGTCAGGCTGGTCATAGGCAACAGACAGCAGTGGACACAGTGCAAGATCCAGGTGTCCAGGGAGAGCCGAGTTCTACTGGATAGGCGGGCCTGGAACATCAGAGCTCCACCCCTGGTCCAGGCACCACGGGGACACGAGTTCTATGCAGAAACGGGAACACCTGATGCTGAGCTGTGGTCTAGGTGGGGACCTGGGCAGTTCTATGAGTGGGCCCAGGTGGTACAAGGAAACCTGGGGTACACTCCTAGGCCAGGGGCGTGCTGAGTATACCCTGAGGTACACTCCCAGGCCAAGGGTGTACTGAGTATACCCTGAGGTACACTTCTGAACCAAGGTGTACTGATAATAACCTGAGGTACACTCCCAGGCCAAGGGTGTACTGAGTATACCCTGAGGTACACTTCTGAACCAAGGTGTACTGATAATAACCTGAGGTACACTCCCAGGCCAAGGGTGTACTGAGTATACCCTGAGGTACACTCCTGGGCCAAGGTGTACTGATAATAACCTGAGGTACACTCCCAGGCCAAGCGTTCCCATGAGACCTGCGGTCTCTCATGACTGAGCTGGGAAGAGGGACAGCTGAAGTTTACCCCCGGAGTGAGCACAGAACATCCGAGTCCTTCTTTTGGTCCAGGTGGCACAGGACACCTGAGTTCCACTCCCTGTCCAAGTGTCACAGCCGAGTTTCCCTCCTCGCACACAGACCACTGGCCTCTGCGCCTCGTCCAGGCACCATCGGACACTGAGCTCGGAAGATGGGAATCAGAATGCCTGCGCTCTACCTGGCCCAGGTGGGAACTGGGACACCTGGCTCAGGTGTCAATGTGACACCTGAGTTCCACCACGGCCCAGTTAGGAACCGGGATGCTGGAGTTCTCCTCCTGGCCCAGGGGCCTCTGGGATATCTGAGCTCTGTGCCTGGTCCGGTGCCGCTGACTCACCGGAGCTGTACGCATGGCTCAATGGGAACTGGGACACCTGAATTCTATGCCTGGTCCAGGTGTGCCTGGGCACCTGAGTCCCACATGTGGCCCAGGGGGAATGGGACACTGAGCTGTACCCATGGTCCGATGGGCATCAATCAGGACACGTGAGCTCTCCTGGCTCTATCCCAGGGTGCTCAGCGGCCTGAGCCAAGACCCTCGGTCTTCATAGGGTGCCCTCAGCTGCAAACCAGCACTGATCCTTGCGGGTTAAAGGCAGGCAGGGAGCAGGCGGAGAGACCTGAATATTCTGAAGTTCACAGTAACCACGCTGCTCCTGGCCCCTATTTCCTGATGCCTGTGACTTCCTGCCTGGAGGAAGGAGTCTCTCCCCTCTCCTGAGCGTTTTCTTTGGGGGCTGGAGGCCCCTCTGAGGATGGAGCCCTCAGGGGAGGGTGGAAGGGCCACCAGGTGCCCAATGACCCCCCTGGTGTGGACTGCGCTCCCCATGGGCCCGCCCTCCCTCCCTCCGGGCACACAGGTGCCAAGGCTGAGCCTGTGCTGAGAACAGCTCATGCCAGACCCAGACCTTCAGACGGAGTCGCTGAGAGAAACCAGGACGGGCACAAAGGACTGTTCAGAGGGGCTTGTGGCCCGGGTCCCCGGAAGGAGAGCAGCCGACAGCCTCGCTTCCTCCCGTCCCCCTCTTTTCTGTGAACATCACGTGCCTTTCCTTCCCCCGCCGTGCCGAAATCTGCCTCGCAAGGTCACGTCTCCAAGCCACACACCTGAGGTTACCTACTTCATCTCTGGCCCTGAACGTGACCTCTGCTCGGGGTCCTTGAGCAGAGTGTCCTCTGTGGTTACCTGCTGCCCCAGCGCCCTGCCCCTCCCCTGTCCAGTTCCCGGGCTCGCTGGGGGCTGGGCCGGGCTGGGCCCAGGACAGAGCCGTGAGCAGCATGGGTCCTGGCCCCTGGAGCTCCCACGGGTCTTACTCTCCGCTGCTAAGCCCTCCCTGCTACTCCCAGTTCGTTTTTCTCTTTCTCATAAAAGCTGTCCTGTCCTGGTGATGGATTTTGAGAGCTGCCACGCTTTGTACCAGCATCTCTGCGATTCCTCAATCAGACACCTTCCTTCAGAAAGAGCTTGCAAGTACATGCGCTTGCACAGGTGTGAGGGCAACTATTAGTCTGACACCCTCTGTGACAAGAGGCAGAAGGGTCACCTCCTCCGGCTGCCACGCCCCCTGGTGGGAACAGAGGCGGGGCACCGTTTGGGGCTCCTCCTGCAGACACCTCAAACCCGCTAGCTCTCTTCGGTGTTTGTGGAAGTGGAAATGGCAGGAGCGGCCTTTTGTGGAAACGGTCTGTGAGCCCCTGGCACTGGGTGGCGGTGTGCCCCTCGCACGGAGGGCGGTCGGAAAGCACGGCTCCCAGCGCCTGGCACAGCCTCACCTTCAGCGGGAAAGCGGACTCCTTCTCCCACTTGGCCACTCTCCTCGACTCGAACGGACCGAACTGCGTCCGCTTGACGAGCTGCGTGACGGCAAACACGCCTTCGGCTCCGTCTTCCAGCCGTCGGATTTCCAAGTTGGAAGGAAGGGATGACCTAGACATGGAACAAAAGGAGTCCTTGCGCCGGCCAGTGTGGCTCGGTGGTGGAGCACTGACCTGTGATCCAGGAGGTCACGGTTCGATTCCTGGTGAGGGCACATGCCCAGGTTGCGGGTTCAATCCCCAGTGTGGGGCGTGCAGGAGGCAGCCCATCAATGCTTCTCTCTCATCATTAATGTTTTTATTTCTCTCTCCCTCTCTCTTCCTCTCTGAAATCAATAAAATATATATTAAAAAAACACACACAAAAAAAATAAATCGAGTCCCTGAGTGTCATTGGCTGGGGCAGCCACTCACACCAGGACATAGAAGGTTCTGAGAGATGGACAGCTGGCTCTCACGGACCACCCGGGGCACAGGATGGAGGCCACTCACTGAAGGACGTGACCATCCTGCCCACCAGAGATAGAGCCGACACTTCGGTGCTCCAGGTGCGGGGGTGACGGCCAGCAGGATGGCCAGGACGCCTCTCAGCGAAGCACAGTCCAGGGAGAGAGGACTACGGCAGCTTCGGGACGAAGTGCCACGTGGAAAGTCCACGAGAAAGACAGAGAGAGCCACGCATTTCAAAGGCCAGAGGAGGCTTCAGCTGGGCCGAACCGCCCGTTTCACGGAGGGTGGGTGCGGGCTCTTTAAGGGAAACAGGAGAAGGTCCAGGGGTGCTGGAGGAGAGGGCACGTGGGCCGGGACTCCAGCGCCAGCCCAGCCAAGGGCGGAGGGTCCTACTGCGGGACAGACAGCTCCCAGCGGCGCTTGTGGGCACAGACAGCGCTGGAGGTTTGGGGGAGCGCTGATCCAATCTCTACTTTAGGCACGGATATTAACATTAACCCCAGTGAGGAAAAGGAAAGAAAGAAAGAGGCTGGGAAACCAGTTGGGAGGCTTCTAGAAAACAGCCCCGGTAAGACGAGGCCAGGGCCTCCAGTGCCGGCACCAGACCTGTACCATGAGCACCGTGATGTCACAGGCACTGCTATTCTGTTCCATCCACAGACGAGGCAACGAGGTGCAGAGAGAAGGCCTCATCCACGGTCAGTGCTGCCGAGTGTCACTCAGCCCTTGCTCCGCCCACGTGACACGCCCCCACGGGGACACACGGCATGGCAGGGCCACAGAGCCTCCTGCCTGGATCTGCACGTGCTTTTCCAGAAGCTGCCATGGCTCTGCCTTGCCACCCGCACTCACTGCTGCCTCCACCCCACCCCACCTTGCCCACCTGACGGTAGGATGGCGGCCTTCTTTCGGGCCACGGGGAAACCGTGCGAAGAGACCTATAACTTGGCCGTGGCTCCTCAGCCCATAGACCAACCCAACTGATCTGTTCTTCCATAGACCGTCTGGGTCAGTGTGGCTGCTCAGAGCCATGAATGAGACAGACATCCCTCTGAAGCCTGACACACGTCTCCGCTCCTCCTGGCGGCACGCCACTCAGTTCACAGGGGGAGGGAAACCACAGGGCCCTGAGCTGAGGACGGTCCTTCTCACTGCAAGCCAGTCCCGCCTTCCTGCAGATGTGAGACCGCCAGGCCCTCCCCCAGCCAGGCCCTCCCCTCAGCCAGGCCCTTCCCCAAACCCAGACCCTCCCCGCAGCAAGGCCCTCCCCCTCCCCACAGCCAGGCCTTCCCCTCAGCCAGGCCCTCCCCTCAGCCAGGCCCTCCCCGCACCCAGGCCCTCCCCACAGCCAGGCCCTCCCCTTCCTGCAGCCAGGCCCTCCCCACACCCAGGACCTCCCCACAGCCAGGCCCTCCCCTTCCTGCAGCCAGGCCCTCCCCACACCCAGGACCTCCCCACAGCCAGGCCCTCCCCTCAGCCAGGCCCTCCCCGCACCCAGACCATCCCCGCAGTTGACACGCGGACAGGACAGCCCCGTCAGACAGGCAGCACTTGTAAACGCAGTCAGAGGCGCTCACTCACCTGGCCCTGCTCAGCACAAAGGAGTCTTTGACCATGACCACCGGGCCCAGCTCAGGACACTCAGAGTCGTGGTACTGGCTGCAGTCCTCACACCCTGCAGACAGACGGCCCGTGTCACCAGGAGGACCCTGCTCGGCTCCGAGCCCAATGGGGGTGACCGAAGCGCTCCCCACAAACAGAGCAGTGCAAACGCAGGACGTGCCCAAGGAGAAGGCCCAGCTCCATGCGCACGAGTCCCCTCGGTGGTGACGGAGAATGAGAGCTTCCCGAGGAAGGACAGTGAACGAGAAGGCACCCAGTTCGCCTTTCACCACCCACCTACCGCATCGCAAGCCCCTTTCTAGGCCCTGGGGTTACTCTGCTGCACCCCCGCCGCCCCCTGCGACGTGCGCTTTGCTTAAGGTGACCAGACGTCCCGCCTTTGGCAGGATTGTCTGGCCAAAAGCGGGACGTCTGGTCACCTTAGCTTTGCTGGGAGTTTAGAGATGAGCCTGTTAGAGCTACACCTGGCAACACGTGTCCCATGTAATAAATCGTGTTTTTTAAAGCAAGTCAAGTCATCGCAACTGAACAAGAAACGGCTCTTCTGTCTGATAGAGACCAAACGCGGACGTGGCTTTGCCGGAACGGCTGGCACCACGTCACCACACGCAGATGTGGCTCTGCCCGGACAGCCGGCGCCACGTCACCACACCGCGGGCCCAGGCACTCACAGATGAACATGATCTCCTCGCTGCCATCCTCCGCCATCGCCGGCACCTGTCGGGCACGAGAGGGAGAGCGTTAGTGACGGGCTTTCTGCTGAAGGCGCCGCGCGCTGGGCTGTAAGGCACAGGTGTGTGTGTGTGTGTGTGTGTGTGTGTGTCCCCTTTACGGTGGGAGGGGGCTGGGCCTTGACGTGTGTTCTCACTCAACATAACGTCGTGTTTCATAAAAGCCATCGAGTTGACTGGCCTCTGCAAGGAAGCCTTCGTGAATTCACACGTCCATCTTTTTACGGTCGCCGTGTTTCCGTGGGTAAAGTAAACACACCACCGTGTGTTAAAAGCCGCTTTCACACGGTCACTTTTTCCTTCCTCACTGGACTGTGACTTCGCCCAGGGCGACCGCTGCCGCCTGGGGCCCGAACCCAGGAGCCCGGCTCTCCCGGGACTAAAGCAACCGGGACCTCGTGCAGGGGTCGCCCCTGCTCCCCCCAAAACCTGTCAGATCCCGTCCCTTCCGTTCCCTAGTCATCCTCCAGGCACAGCTCAGAGTGACCGGCACAGAGGCAGCTGGGCTCAGGCCCCCACACGTTTCAGGGGGACCTGCACCTGTCAGCTCCAGAGCCCGCTTCCGGGCAGAGAAAACGGAACGTGAAGGCTCAGCTCGGCAGCCGTGGGAAGCACGCAGTGCGACGCCACCCCATGGTGATACCCTCTCCCCCCCTCCATCCCGGATGGGCCAGCCCCGGCACCCTTCCCGCATCCTCCTTGTGGTCGGAGCCTCGCTGCTGTGCATCCCTTTGGGGAAAGGGTGCAGCCGGGCACCTCCTGAACGTTATCCCACAAGCCTCCGCCCCAGGAGCTTGAAGAACGAAACGCAGACAACGCAGAGTCCAAAGGAAAACGCTCTCTGCCGAGCACGCGCTTCCGTCGGCAGAGAACAGAACTTCCCTGCGGCCGAGGGAACGGACACGGGGACAGACAGGCAGGGAGATGGGGCTTCCATTGGCCCCCAAATGCCAACGCAATAACCAGGGTGTGTTTCTTCCCAGCAGTCTCCACGGCCTCCCAGGGCCACGCCCCACCTTCTCCCACCGGGAAGGCGGCTCTCCCTGCTCCACCCTGGCTGGCCCCCCCTTTCCACACTGCCGGGGTTCTTCTGGGACAGGGGTCTGGTCGGCAAACCTTGGCTCGCGAGCCACAGGCGGCTCTTTGGCCCCTTGAGTGCTCTAACGCCATGCCTTCAAAATAGACTCACCCGCGCCGAAAACTGACTTCTGCACACGGGCCACGAGGTTTCAATCGCACTGGACGTGCGCGCCCGCACGTGGTGTTTTGTGGAAGAGCCACACTCAAGGCGCCAAAGAGCCGCATGTGGCTCACGAGCCGCCTACAACATGAGCCCAATCATGTCACTTGCCAACCCAAAGCTTAACAGCTTCCCACTGTTCCTGGGACCAAACCCAAACCCCCAGCCTCCCCTTCACTGGCCCTCTGGGCCACCACGGCCCAGCTCCTTCCTGCCTCCAGGCCTCCCACACTGCTCCTGTGCCTGGACCCCCTCCCCATGGCTGCCGCTGGCCAATGCCTACTCATTCTTCTGTCACTTCTTCTGGTCTCATGTAACTGTCACTTCTGCGGGGAGTGTTTCTGATCCCAACTGGGCCCTTGTAACACTCCCTGGAAGCGCCCTGCACATTCCCTTCACCGGTTTTCATCGCTGGATCACAAGTGTGTGCTGTTTACCTAGGGCTCTCCCCTCACCGGACCTGGAGGCCACCAGGCGGGAACCAGCAGCACCAGCAGCACAGGTGGAGACTGCTGGGAAGAAACACACCCTGGTTATTTCGTTGTGGAATAGCTCTCAGGAGGTGCCAGGCTGCACCAGGTGCTAGTGGACTGGCCACCTCTCCCGCACGCCAGCCCTCACCCACTCTGCACATGACCCTCCGAGTACAGCAGGGCCCACATAGCTGCTGACTGGTCCGCCAGATAACAAGAGCTGGTCGGAAAGTTTCAAATCCTTCATCTGTACAATGTATGCCACTAAGTTAGAAGTTGGTCAGATTAGCAGTGCGATCTGGAAATTTTATTCGTTTCAAGTAAAAAGTAATCTTCACTGCCGTGGAAATAAGGTCATTTAAGGGTTTCCTGCTACGCACACTGGGAAGACAGTTTAAAAAGAAACCTGTGCTAATCAACAAATCCTGCAAAGCAATGACGCTCTCCAGGAAGGGCAGCCTTTCCAGCAAGTGCACCCAGAGAACATTCTATCAGCTCTAGTAAGACAGCACCCCTCCCGCCCAGGCACTCCGGGCCACCCCACCACCAAGCTGCGCTACAGCACTGCCTCCCCTGGAGCGGCAGGACAGGCGTGACCTCCCCCCACGGCCCGCTGCAGGGCAAAGGGCGGTCTGGGCCTCTGGGAGGACACCGAGGGGCAGCTGGGAGGACCCAGACTTGGCCAAACAAATATGTCCTCAGCTTTTGCCTCTGGAAGAAGCGAGCAAGTGCCTCAGCTCCCTACACGTTCAACAAAGAGGGAAAAATCTACAGCAGCGCTTCCCTGAAGGGGAAGGTGGCTTCCAGGTTCCACAGTGGCCACCTGCCCAGGGCGAGCGTGTGCCATCCCGTGCCATCCCTCAGTGACGGCTGTGCTGACCCAAACCTCAGTGGGCGGTACAGGGGCTGGCTCCTCTCCGAGCTGAGAAGTCCCCCCCCCCGGCAGGACTGAGATGGGAAGAGGCCCCGCCGCCACCCGCAGCGTGGAAAGCCCAGAAATCTCAGACCATTGCGAGCGTGGCACACATTCTCTGTAAAAGCACGGTGTTTTCCCAGGACGCCAGCCCCGGGGAGCACCAAGGCCTGCGCTCACCCAGCAGCACCCTGAGAAGCCGAAGAACAACCCCTTATCCCAGCGCAGACCTCGCACCCAGGCCCCGGCACACAGGGCTGAGCCAGCGTCAGGGAGGGCGAAGGAAGCCCGGGCCCGCTCGACGGCAGAATGTGCACAGGCCATTTTTAAAAGATCATTTAAGCCCTAACTGGTTTGGCTCAGTGGATAGAGCGTCGGCCTATGGACTGAAAGGTACCAGGTTCGATTCCGGTCAAGGGCATGTACTTTGGTGGCAGGCACATCTCCGGTAGGGGGTGTGCAGGAGGCAGCTGATGGATGTTTCTCTCTCATCGATGTTTCTAACTCTCTATCCCTCTCCCTTCCTCTCTGTAAAAAAGCAATAAAGTATATTAAAAAAATAATAATAATAAATAAGAGATCATTTAATGGGCATGTGACTACTCTAGTCCCTCCTGTGCACACAGTACTTGTCTCTCTGGGACTAGCTTATTTCACTCGGCATCATGTCCTCAAGGTTCCTTCACGCTGCAGCGTGTGCCAGAAAGTCCTTCCTTTTTCTTTTAATTTATTTTTTATTTTTTTTAATATATTTTATTGATTTTACAGAGAAGAATTGAGAGGGACAGAGAGTTAGAAACGTCGATGAGAGAGAAACATCGACCAGCTGCCTCTTGCACACCCCCCACTGGGGATGTGCCCGCAACCAAGATACATGCCCTTGTCTGGAATAGAAACTGGGACCTTTCAGTCCGCAGGCCGACGCCCTATCCACTGAGCCAGACCAGTTAGGGCCGTCCTTCCTTTTTAAGGCTGAGTCGCATTCCATTGTCGGGATGGAGCAGTTTATCTGTCCTCTATGGCTGGCCCTGGGATTGCTCCGAGGTCTCACTACGGTGCTGACTGCTGCTGGGGACGGGCGTGCACGCACACCTCTGTGAGCGCCTGCCTGCAGTCTGTGGGGCGCACACTCAGAGGGGGGCTGCGGTCAGAGGGCAGCTCTGCGTTTGGTTTGTGGAGGACCCTCCGTGCCGTCTTCCATGCGGCTCCCCCACTCGCCATCCCACCAACAGCGCCCGGAGCCCCGGTTCTCCACCTCCTCTCCCACTCGTGTTAGTTCCTCGTTTTTTTAAAAAGCAGCAGCCATCCGAATGGACGGGAGGTGGCAGAAGATTACTTTTTAACGTGATCTACAGGGGCTGGGCTTTAGAAAAGGCAATCGGCGTTGAGACGCTGGAAAATGAAAACTCCCTCATTTTAAAACACAGGCAGCCAACAGTGAGGACAGAAACCAGCACTTTCCAGGAGGCTGCTGAGTGAGTGACACGAAGGTCCTTTCCTCTGTGAGCTGGCGGAGACGTCCCGGGCCACCCCTGCCCACGTACACGGCACAGGCAGGCAGAGGGCCACGGGGCTGCATCCTGACCTGTTCCACTGGCCTGGCTGACGGGCCAGAGCCTTTTCGGGGTGCAAAGCAGCACTGCCCGGGAGACGTGCAAGGTGAGCCACACAGGGAAGACTGGCCTGGCTGTTATTACGTTTTGAAATATTACAGATTCACAGGAAGTTTCAAAAATAGCACCGAGAGGTCCCGTGTGCCTTTCACTCTGTTTTTCCCAAGGCTTGTGCTTACGTAACTATGTATATAACACGGAAACGCTTACATAACGGCAGCACCAGGAACACTGGCCTTGGCCCCGCGCATGTGCACCTGCTTCTGTGTATTTTATCACAGGTGCAGGCTCACGCGACCAGCACTGCCGTCCGGATTCAGGACTGTCCTCCTGCTGGGAGGACCTCGATCTGTGTTGTCTTTAGTCACCTCCTGTTCCCTGCCACCCGACTCCATCAGTCATGTTTCAGTTCAGGAATGCCATCGAAATGGACCCAAACAGTGTGTGACCTTCAGAAACTACTTTTTTGGTTTGTTTTTTTAACTCAGCAAAATGCCCTTCAGACCCACGCAGGCTGATGTGTGTCCGAAGAGTCCGTTCCTTTTCGCTGCTGTGTAATATTCCACGGCACAGCCCAGCCCCTCCCCCACTGAGAACACAGGACCTCCCCCCGATTCTGTCTACTATAAATAAAGCCTCTACACACAACCGTACATAGGGTTTCCTGTGGACATAAGTGGTCATCCCTCCGGGAAAATGCCCACAGATGCATCTCTGGCCACGTACTGAGTGGGTACTGGTAAATGG